TTCACTCTGACTGGCTGACTCAGCCTAGTCATTGTTTGCATGTGTGCACATGATCATGCTACATGAGCTTGCTTAAGCTTGTGTTCTCATCTCATTCTTTTCTTCTCTTTCCCAAGCAATTCATCCTTGTTATATAGGAGGGCTAGCCTCTAGTTCTTAGAGCTTAATTCTCTACAGTTTAATGATTTTCAGAGAGAATGCACTTCTCAGTGATAAATAACATTAACTACCTCATTAAATGTGTAGTTACTTTGAGATATTGCAAGCTAAAAGAGAAATCAATGATTATGTCTTCAATCTCAGATAAAAAAATCCTTATGTAGAGAAGTCTAATGGCAGATGACAAGTAAAATAAGAACAAAAGTTGCCTAGACTTAAGCTTATCAAATCATTAAAGAGAGAAAGAAAAGCCTGAATCTCCTTCTCTGTACAGAAACTCTAACACTAAAAAAAGATATTATTTATTATATTTATTGACTTTGAAACTGAGGAAAGAAATATAAGAGCAAAAGTAGCAACAAATTACAATGATGAAATTCAGCTATACATTTGAAATAAAATAAATAGATATGAAAATGAATGAAAGAAGCTCAAAACTGAATTGCAAGAAATTAATACTGCTTAAAAGAGAACAATAATAATACTAAAGAATTGAAATATCTTATCTACCGTATCAATAAAAAAAAAAAGAGAAAAAATAAAAATAAAAAGAGAAGAAAAAAGAAAAATTAAGGGAAAAAAAATTATGTGCAAGTGAACTTTCCGAGTTCATGCTCACCAATTCCTTTATCCCTTTCCTCAGCTACTCGCATGTATTTTCGTATGTATGCGTCAGGTATATGTATATGAGCATTGGGGTGGGGGGAAATGGGACTGGTGAAACAAATATTCAAAAAGAGAGCCGTAAACGACCAACCCCCTCAGAAGAATGAGAAAAATGAAACCAACGTATTTTCATGTTTCAACCAAATATTGGCGAGGGTGATGGGAACAAGATTTATAATAGCAATAATACCAGAACAAAACCTCCATTTATTTATTTATTTACCCGGTTGAAAATTCCGTCCATATGTTCCGAAACCAGTTGAGTAAAAAGGAATGCACGAAATGGAAAAACAGGTGACCTGCGGTACCTGTCTCGACAGGCAGACATAAAGGGGAGAAAGAAACAAAGAGTAAGATGGGAGAAGGGTGGTGTAGCTCGATGACCAGTTAGGTACGATGCATGGAAGATGGAGTTGCTATGTAAAGCGGAAGTGTATAGAGGCTGGAGGACGGAAAAGCATCGGATCATATATGCGGGGTATATAATGGGATTAATGAACGGATGGATCGCTTCAGCAAGTTCGTACCTCACGATTAACGGAGGTTGGATATTTTCTTGTGATACAAGGAAGATTTGTTTTCTGAATGACGCAAGCTGCGGGGTATGGGTAATGCAACGGTATGTACGGATACATGCATGTATGGAAACAAAATCAGAAGAAAATTTCCTTTCGCCTTAATTTCCTGGAACAGCCACCGCCACTGCCACTGCAGCACCATATATCGCGCTCTCATCAGCTAACTCGAGAGTGATGGTGGGCGATGTGACGACTGAGGTAATCAGTTGCTCCGAGGGTGAGGAGGCCGTCGCAGATTGGGAGAGGGAGAGAGAAGGGGATGGGAGGGACGAATCTCTTTCCAGTGTCAGCTCGTTGAGGTAGTGTTGGCACTGCTTGTGGAAGCCTGGGTATTTGTTAATGACAGCCCCATCACAGGCGATCGTGACGTTCAGTTCACTATTATCGGCGGTGTCGTTCTTTGGAGGATTGTTTCCGCTGGCAACGGCTCTTTCGTTCGTTGTGGAGGTGGAGTCAGGGGTGGGGAGAATGATGGGTGCTTCAGTGTTGTTCCGTAGACACCAGAGGGCGTGGATGGCAGTCGCTAGGTATGCTGCTGCTCTGCGAGTGACGTAGCCGCAGATTTGTTGGAGGAATAGAAGATCGGGCGGAGATGGGGGGATGATAAAGGTGTGGCGTTTTTGCAGGAATAAAGAGGAAGCAGTAAGGGAGGGGGATGTATCATCTTGGATGTATGCGGCGATAGCGGTGTCAAAAGAATACGGATTCCGCATGGATTCAGGGAGTACACCTCCAAACAGACCTGCAGTCTTGACAGCATCCAGTATGACCAACCGCACGATCTCACCTAGATATCGTCCCGTGCACATATACTCCAGGGGTTGATAATCGGGCTTTAAATGTGTGCGATTGAGATAATCGTCCCAGGTAGTCGTTGGTAAGACTCCCCCACCACCAAACATGCTAAGTTCGGTATTGACAATTACGTGATCAGCTGCATCGAACCACTCTGCTGGTCTGTTTCCGAACTTGGCGGTTCCAATGGCATTTACGGGGAAATGAATGGCGGCATTGGTACCAGTGCCTAAGATCAAAGATACCCGGGTTGAAGAGTCTGTGTAAGCACGAGAGAGCAGGGTAGAGGAGCTGTCATTGACGATGGCATCGATTCTGACATTGAGATTTCGCTCCCTACAAGCATCCATGATCAACTCGCTTAGGTCGTCACCCACGGTACCATCGGAGCACAGGAACCCCTTGCCCATGGAAATGACGCGTCCGCTGCGTATCGAGGTCTGCTCAATCGGAAACGACCACGATAGACCGATTGGCAGAGGTGCTGAGTCTAGGCCATACTTTTCATCACCACCGCCTAGCATCTCCTCAATTCTTTCCGCCATCCAGCGAAAAAAAGCTTTCCCCTCCAACAATTTTACAGGCTCATCAATTGCTGAGACCTTCACACGGATGATCCTCATCTTCCCACCCCCAGAAAGTTCAACAAGCGCAACGCGAAACGTCGATCCTCCCAGGTCCATGGCAAGGTATGTACCTGTCTCATTGCCAGTGGGGAGAGTATGGTTGAAAGATGGGAGCATGGAGACCGGGCTCGACTTGGCACAGGCGTCAATCTGCGCGCGTATCTTCCGTGACATGGCCAAGAGATTCGCAACGTCCAAGTGGCCATTGAAAAGACGCTCAATTTCTTTCGATAGCTCATCGAGGGATCGACGGCGTCGTTTGATGCTGGAAATGGATCCGCGTTTTGAGTCAGATGCATCCCCAAGTCCTGAGGGAAACATCATCAACCGCTTGAGGAGAGCCATGATGCTGCGAAAGAAAGACCGCATGCGGCGGGCGGCTGTTGCAACTGCATCTGCCATGTTGATAGACGGATATATCGGTAGGCCTCCAAGGGAGCCTTGGTAGTGAGAAATGTAGAGATTTGAGTTTGGTAGATAGTGTATTGGGTATATGGGGTATTATTATATGGTGGTCAAAGCTCGTGTAAATGGTTTCAAAAGGGGCCTCGACGGGAGCTTAAGTAAAATTCATGGATGGTTGATATAAAAGCTTGACAACCATTTCCAGCGTTGAGGCCAATACAAAAGAGGGTTTAAGGTCCGAGTGCTGATGTGATGTACCGACGATTTGATGTTCTGCAGAGGCAGTAGTGTGTGGATGATGTATTTTTGACTCAAGCCACAATAGTGAAACCGTCGGAAGGGGTGAGCCGCAAGATATTAAAACTTAATGCAAACAAAGTTAAAGGCGGAGTAGCAGTCAAAGTTTCATGTCGGATAGTTGCTGATAACGGAAAGGGGCGAGCGGGCTCATACAAATACCCCAAAAGGCAAAGTGTAAATAGCCGAGTCCAAAGTTGTATCGGGAACTCCGCGCTTTGGTTTTAAGACACGTTATATTGGGTACCTGGTACTATCCAGGAAGGTGGGTATCAAGAGGACTTTCCACAGGAATTGCGTATTATGTTGTATGTGTGTGTGAGAGAGAGAGAGATGTGAAAAAAATGAAGATAGAGCAGGTGAGGATGGAGAGGAAGCAAGCAACTATCAAGTGCGACAGTGAATACGGGGTCTCTAGGCACTTGGTCAGGGCAACTGCAGCGTTGCAGGCACTATTTGCTCGCTTTGTGTCTGTCTGATCAATTTTGCCGGACCCAGATCTCACGTTTCGCGCCAGGCTGTTTTTATCTCCTTTTAGTGAGCTTATGCCTTCCCCCCCCCACAGAACCCAGGAACTTGTTTTGCCGGGCAATCCCTTTCCACAGGGATCTGACTAACATCAAGGCCAGCAGTGATCAGTGGTAGTAGACGGGGATAGTACTGAAAGAGGTGCTCCGGTCTCAGTCTGCATAAACAAGGATAAAATGTGAAATGAAACAAGAACTTAAAAGGGTAAGAATAAACACCTCAAGTCGCAAAATTAAAAACAAATGAGGGAACGGTGGTCAGGTTGACAGATTGAGGTGTTATTGTTGAGGCCCCCAGGTGAGAGGGGGGGGGAAGCGTGGGTGACTTTCCCACGGTGGTACCTGGTGGTGAAACGATACACAGGGAAGCGAGGCATGCGATTGATTGACTACAGCGACCTGCAGCTACAAACGGGGGTTTGAGGAGAATGACGGTCACTCAGCTTCAATGGGAGGATTGCCATGACTCAGAGCAGTTGGTGTAGTAATAGCAGCAGTGGCATTAGTGAGTCGTTGGTGAAGTTGTTTATTTTGTCATAGGTTAAGAAAGCCAACATTTTTTTATCAAAAAAAAAAAAAAAAAAAAAAAAAAAAAAAAAAGAATTAACAAATAAATCTGAAGTTGTCTAGTTTGGGATTGGAATGAAGGTCCTCGAATAATACGCTGGTGGTTGGTTTGCTTGGCGCTGTATAAAGAATGCCCCAGTGACCTGGAAACCCCCTGCCGCAACAGTCATGCGGTGGTAGTGGTGGTGGTGGTGGTGGAGAGCGGCTAGATGAGGTGACATCCGAGAGATAATATCTCGAATACGGACTGTGTAGACGCGACCGAAACCAGCAGGAATGCAAAAGGAGCGGCGTGATGTGGTAGTGGATGGTGTGTCAATGAGGTTGAATTGAAATCAGATGAAAAAGTGGTAGTGCAGGAACTAATATTTCAACTATCCCTAAGAGCCGCTTTGGTAATCAATACGGGGTTTGAACCGGGGCAAATGCATGGCGTTGTAACACCCTTTGGTCGTTCCATTCGGGCATACGATGTGTGAGCAGCCAGGACAACGCGCCACGGGTAAGTGCAATAGCCGAGCTCTCTCTGTTACGCTTCCTGGTTCGGTAAGCTGACAATACCGACAAACGGTCTCGTACAGCGTAATTGCGAAACTGGTAAGAATACCGAACTTACGCCCATGGTATTCCCCGGTATTAGAGGTGGTGGTGCTGTACTGCCCTTTTTTTGCGCCTGCCCGCACGGACCACAGTCTCCAGCCTTGCAGTAATTTCCCTTTCTCAATGTGGCAAGGCGCGAAAGAGCTTAGCGAACGCTTTATCAGCGCCGACACAACGTCTTCAACAGGAACAATATCATATCTATGGATTACTCGAGTCTTCCCTTCTTGAATTTTTTCGGCTAGAATCCGGAGGAGCACCCTCATTGTTTTTGCTCTCGAAATTCATCTCCAACTCCCCAGGAAAAGTTGCCTGCTCCGGCTCCTTATTTCAAAAATGAGCTTGTGTTTTGGGAGGTCGCAATGTAACGTTGCTCTGGTCCAGCTTCGGGCGTGCAACCTTAACTACCCAACAACTAATCACTTTCCTAATGAGCCCCCACCAGCATTTGCACTTCTCCGCGCCATCACCTTAATTAATATAAGTAATCATAATTTCCCAAATATGCGCCAAGAAATCATCAGAGCATCCCGCATGTAACCACAACATCAGCTCTGTGGGAAAGCCCGAGGTGCTGATGAGGTGAGGTTGTCTACGTTGTTGATCTGCGTCTGTTTCGTATGGAGCTCAGGCCTCCCTCTTCGGCCAAGAGCCGCCATTTAGCGCGATTGACGCCCTAAAACCAAAACTTCACCGGGGTGGGAAATAGCTTTAACTTTGAATGACGTCGTGATTGATGATAGATATTTCACATGTGCTTGGATATCGTCGTCATTACCTTGATGAAATGCCGATATATATATTACCGAGAGACTCAGATATTACATACAAGTCTGAAGTTTGAAGGCCGTATCTATTTGTAACATGCATCTTCTCGCCAAAGTTGAACCTCTCTCTCTGAGTCATAGTATCTAGTTACTGTATCCCGATTCACATGTTGGGGTTGAACTGGATAAGGCTCCCTGCGGGGCATACTTTCCATCGAGGCGGAAATGGTATGCTTATTTGCCGTTGCTGTTCACTCGACATGGGCTGACTTTCCCTTGATTGAAACGTATAGTCCAGTATCTTCCTGTCTCCAGCAACAATCAAGTTCCTGGAATATCAAAAAATTCTGACTGAGTATTCGGTTCCTTTTGCTATGTTATAGAACTGTGATTGCGTTTCTAATCTTATAAATTGAACAGGATGGAATGGGATAACGGAACACTTCCACCCTGCTGAACTTCCTTCTGCTGGAAGGATAGAGGGGATCACGAGGAACCCCCCAAAAAAAACCAGCAGCCAGTTATAACATATGACAAAGCCTGCTATTGACAACTATGTCGTTGGGTACCAGAGTTTATTTTGATGGAACTAACAAAGTCTCCATGATGAAATGATTATATGACAGTTGTCAACACCTTTGTCAAAGGTGAACATTTCTGTTGATGTGTAATACCTTTCTAATTTGTTTGATTTGCTTACTGATTAACTTGCAATTCAGGCACACCCTACACTCTTGTGTCGCAAACACTGAAAGGAAAGATTTACAATATTTTACCCCTACTATCAGCCTTATCAATTATCATTGTTTCTAGAGCTGATAGGCAGATCATGTTGTTTTCAATTATTGCAAGGCAATGATTAAGTGATTACAGCTAAGCTCATACGGAATCAATCAGCTACTTCCATGATGTCTAAGTAGTGCTTTTTCTATTCTAGAAAATTCCCATCTCTTGCGATGGGTATTAGAACTGTTCCAGTAATCCTTCCCCCCCTCAAGTCCCTTTCCTAAATTTACTCCTGGCAAAATCAATGTTCTCTTTCGATTTAAAGGAGCCTCTTTGAGTCCATGAAGTTTTTACGTGTTTATCACAAGCGAGGCTGGCCATTACTTTCCCTTGTAGCCAAGTTTTAAGGCTGTCTAGAACAATCAAAGGCCGGAGCTCTCGAATTGTTTCAAAATCACGTTCATCAAAAAGTTGATACGGAACTACTACTATGCTATTTGCACCCCCAAACGCCGCAATGCGTGGGAACTCATATTACTAAAGACAGACAAAGCCGAAACCTGAGAAAATAAGTTTGTTCGTTAGCCTTATTCTTCCAAATGTCTGCGGCACTATTAGCTCAGTCCTGGGCTTCGGGCAGATTTTAAACTATACGGACCGTGGCGATCACTTAAACCACTCCAAAACGGCCTGGGTCGGGTTGTGGAGAACCAACTTTTTTGGGGTGATTAGTTAACTAATTAGTCCGACTGACAGTCCGCACATGGGGTGGGTCCACATGGTTTTCCTGTTGCGCTAAGACCTGCAAGACCTACACATCACTAGGCACTTGACGCGACGGCATCACAGCCTCATTAAGTTTGGGTTAGCTTGGTATCAAATTTGCATAACACATTTTGCCCGGTGTTTTTTGTCTGGGATGGATTGATTGATTCTTCTTTTGAATTTCTCCTGGTGAGGTGAGCTCGATTTCCCTACCCAAGTGTTGATAAAGCACGATTATTATTGGACTCTACCGAAAATATTAATTTTGTTCTCCGCAGATCTAATTTAAATAAAAATCCAGGATTTGATTGCTTGGTGTGGGTGCGGAGGCTGTGTTCGCTGTGTTAACTCCCAAGGATCTGCCAGCTTTGTCCCTGCTTCCTTCGAGATTTTCACGCGGTGATTACAATAAGCAGTTGCTTCGAAGAAGTCCCAATGGACCCCAAGAATTCGTCAAAATAAGTCTCCATATGCACCCGATGAGCCTTCACAAGACAAGCCAGGTGATGCAACGCTCCGACATCCGATTCTTTGTTCGTCGTTAAATCGATAACGTTTTCATGGCAAAGTATATGGAAACGGACTTATCATTCGAGTGTTGAATGGATTGCAGGACTTTGCTTGAAGGCTTTTGTTCGCTGTGCATCATCGCAAGCTGAAAAGCCTGGGATCAAAATAATGCACCAGCTATGGTCAAATCCCCACACAGGAGCCGAATCTTACGCCGCTTGGAGCTCTGATATCCTGTAAAATTCCCTCTGCTCGGCGACGATCATTTGCAACAGCTTTGGTGTACCTTGCTGGAAACACGTCAGAATATTGACGGGTTTTGAAACATCAAAATCCCAGCAGAAAAATATCATCGAGATATTGTTTTCCTGTCTATGATCCAATCCGCTCTCAGATTGCCGGAACAACAAGCTCCTCTTCCCATTCCTGTAATATCTCAATTCACCTTGTCGGGGAAGAGTGAGTCTGCCTTTTCCTTGTTGCATTATCAGCTGAGCAGCATCGATAGTGCCTAAGAATATCGTTAAAGTCCATGATTTCGAGGGATGAACAAAGATTTCCTTTTGCCGCGATAGTACGGTACATAAGGGTTAGCACTCGCTGAAGAAGGGACGTCCTGATAAGGTGAAACCCCTGAGCCAACGACACAGACACTGAATCGCCAAAGTCGCTTCTTCGATAACCAGGATGCCCATTAAGCCAAGTCTGGGCGCGATTACCCCACCGTCGGTGAATGTCACTCAAACAAGATCATCGTTGTCTTTGTTTACCTTTATGGTATCTACCATGACTACCGTACTGGAAGGCACTATGACGCTGCTAGGGGGAAGCAGTCAGGCAGATAACTCTCTATAGGGGAAGGTAGAGAGCGATATAGGTATGAACACACTCGCATGTTTCGAGGCAGGAAGGCATTTCTTGTCGAAGGGGGAACAGCAAATTCCGGTAGTGCATAGGTCGTGACTGAGCACCACAGCCATTCATATTACCAGAGGCATTCCAACAGCCCCTGAAATCCAAAATCGCAATTGGAGTTCACCGTGAAGTACCACTTTCTCCAGTGGCTGAATTGTGGGCACGAAAATAACCATACAAATTGTGATGTAAGTAAAGTAAATTGCCTGATGAAATATCTCTTCGGCTTGGCTGGTACCACAAGCTGAAAAGGAACCGTGAGTGATAGAAATGGTAACAGTTACAGTATTTATAACCACAGAGAGGAAAATCAGCAATTAGCAGTCTCAACGAAACCTGCCACTTAAATGGAAGGTCTTGCCAAACAACGATGCTGTTACAATGAAAGCAGATTAGTCGCGAACGAAGGCATTGGTGCAGTATAAATCGTTTGAGGAAGCTGTTGGTAGCCCATTGGTTAACAGAGCTGGGAATGATAAAGGCAAACTTATCTGGCGATCGAAAACTCTTACCCGCTGCTTCCCTCAGGTCAAGAGTGAGATGAATAAATTGAGACGCATTTCTGGTAGCTTCAAAGCTGCAGAATTGGGGATAAAAGAGACACGTTTGCAATCGTGATCCGTGTTCCATCCTGCGCTCGAAGTCTGCTCCACTTTGAAATACCATCGGAACCAGCTCAAAAACGGGTTTTCTTCTTTGAACCAGGAGCATTGACTTTCTGAGCATTTCCCGGTAGAAGTTCTGGAATACTCTGGGACAAAGATGTTTTGGTTGACTAGCGTTCCATCACAAATTTGGCGCAGTTTGTCTCTGAGCCACGATTTTCGACGTCCAAGCCATTTATCAATTTGTTTCAAAAATCTCCACTCTTGATGTAGTTGGGAAATTTTTCACTGTGGGTCTGAACTTTGTCTATTCATCTACTCAAGTAAAAGCTGTTTATATGGCCAATTCCATGTTCTTGAGTAGCTGAAACAAGAAGGTATGGGAATAATGCCATCAACATCTCTCTTGAGGAAAAGTCATTCTCAATCTAGTTATTACATTAACTAGCATGAGATTCTTATCAGGTATTTTCTGATGAATAAAACTGCATACTTATCATGCATAGTGAGACTCATGACTCCTGTGCAGGGCTTTTTTTTCCCCCCTGAATGAGAAGGCCAGGGGGAAAAAAATGAATGGAACAAAAAGAAAGATGACAAGATTCACAATATAATATCTTTGCTTTAAATTGTTTTGCAAGAGTAACAAATTGAAGAAATGAGAGGATGAATATGATATTCCTGAATATCATTTCTCAAAGAATATAAGATTACAAGATTTTGACTCTGATCAGTTGAGTGAGAAGCACATCAGTGGTTCAGGAAGAATTTGTTGCCCGCATCATGCATATCCTGTTACATGACTCTCATCCATCATAACACATCATAACTTCACTGATAATGAAGCCAATTTCTTCTGTTGTGAAAAAGTCATGACACGACCGGATATAGGCTGCGATTGGCGTGGCTAGTTACATATCGTAACCTTGGATTTCGTCCTGTAGCTATCTTGATTGTCTGGAAGATGTCAATATGTCACATCCCTTAAAAGCTCCCAAACCCTTTCATGAACACTCACTTTCCATGGGCGCATCCAGCACAGCCTCAGAAGCAGGTATATCAATCCCCAAGCGCAAGTTTAACAGGAGTATTTAGTTCCTTGAAACCTGCGCAGGGGATGGACACCTTTTAACTTCCGAGTGATTTTTGCCATAGCCCCGAACTGTCATCCTGAAACATGAAAACTTCTGAAAATATCACATCCATTCCTGATCTTGGGTATTCATGGATTGGCTGTTCCGTTGACATAACTAACACCTTGGGAGGTTGACTGGAACTGCGCAAAAGCCGTTAAGGGTATTTATCTATTTGAGTGCTAAGAAGCCACAATTCCAAGGATCAACGGTAACCCCAGGGGCAACCCTTTCTTTGTGTTTGAATGACATCCTCAATATGACAAATATGAAGATTGCATAAAGCTCTGGAAAGGAATCTGTATTTGCCAAACAGGTTTCCCAAAGTCTATATGCCAGTTGCTGTTAATCAACATCTCGAGTTTTCAATAACAGAGAGAAACAACAACAAAAATGCAGAACTAATTTTTAAAATTTTCAATCATGACTTCCCACCCAGAATCTTTTATTACTATTATACACTTGAATTACTTGTCTCATCAAGGTTCTGCTTTCTATAATAAATCAAATAAAATGACAATCTATCACATTATATCTAGCTAATCAAAAATTGGTGATTAATATTGAAAAAAATATATTACAACACTATATTATCATATATGTTATTCACCTTTGACCGTCGCTCTGTCCGGAAGTACCTCCCTCCGCATCCAGGTACGGCCTCTCCTCGCCGCTTTTGAATGCCTATAAATACCACCTTCCTCTCGCCGTTTTGATAGTTCTCTCAATCGTCCGTTTTTTTACCCCGTAAAGGAATTAGTTAAACTAATTCCGATTCAGGCAAAATTTTGCTGCAACTATCCCTGTGTTCCGACACGCCTCAGAACATGCCGTCAACTAGGCAGCACGCCAACCCCACTTTATCCCGCCATAGCTGTCACGGTGACGCTACAGGCTGGTGTTCTTAGGAAAATGTCAACTTCAGGGGAACCGTCAGACTCTTTACTTCCGACCTCCTCATCACCAGCTTCTGCTGTCAAGTTTCTAATAGCACCCAGTGTTGCCCAATTCTAGTGAAAGGGATCATCATATCAGGATGGAAAAGAAATTGTACGAGACCTTTCCCAGTGACCAAGTCACAGAAGCCATGCTTGATGATGAAGCCGCGACAATATCCAGTGAAAACTATAGAACTTTGGGAAAGAATTGACAGAGCCCAGGGAGGCAAGATGACCCTCTTTCTTCTCATCTCTTAACATCTTACTAGGAAAACCTGTCAAACTCAGTGTACACTGACTATATAAGCAGTACCTACCTTATCCCGCTGGCGGGAGCTACTACATTAGAGTAATAGTTGATGAGAATTTTGCTGGAAATGTGTTCACCTGCTGTTGGAAACACAATGGCAAGACCATCTGTTGGATTACTCAATTGATGATAGATAGAAGCTACTGAGAGCATGGACTGGCAAGCAGACTCTTGAGAGAGATATAACTGAATGAGGATAACATATACAGTATGATGAGCTCCCACCCAGCTGCATGCTTGGCTGCTGTGTCATCATTTGGGAGTAAGTACAATCCTTGTTTGTAAAAGAAATATAGGACACAATTCTGACTCAGAACAGTGAGTATTGAAAGAGTGCTCCTGTATTTTATAAAGGGAAATGCTGAAGCAATTATGAAAACATCATCAATATTCTACATTAGAGAAGCAAAGCTGTGTGACACCCTCCTCAAGCCCAACAATTCAACAGAACTTGTTTGTAGAGTCAATACTGAACTCTTTGTTGACCATAAAGAGCTATTGAAGGTGTTGAAAATGGTTGAAGAAACCTGATAATGACAACTAGGAGACTTGCCAGATGACCACAAATATCTTCTTGTTCTACCAGATAAATACTGTTGATTGAGATCTCACTCATCATCTAAACTCACAAGTAATACTCTATCCAGTTATTAACTCCCTTGGCTTGCTAAATCTAATGACATTACTCATAGCAATCAGGGATTGAATATGTGATTGGATCGAACAGAACTTATCTGAATATTGATAAATTTGCTTTAGTTTCTAGAAACACCTTCACTGATAGAAAATTAACTCTGTAAACATATTGATGAATCTCCACTCACAGTGAGAGTTCTCAACCATCATGTTGTAGACTGTACCTGATCACACATATTCTGAAAGAGATAGATGTCAATTCTCAGAATCAGAAACTAATGCTTTTTTCTCTTGATTACTTTTATTGCATTTTTGAAGTTTTTCATACTTCTGTCAATATCTCCAACTTCATCTCATGTGATGCAAATAAAAAGATGAATAATATCACAGGTGAAAATTTGATTTTCTGAGGAATTGTAGAATTTATTCTGAATTAGAATATATTCTCATCTCTTCAGTGCATCTTGTGATGATGGAAAGAGATGTGCTAATGCAATAAGAGCTCTGACATACTCAAACTGATTCATTGTATCCTATTCTTGCAGGTTTATATACTGTTACCAGCTCTCTGGTCAAGATACCAGCATATGAATAATATCTGTCTGATTTGAACTTCAATAAAGAAAAGAAGTAAGCATTGAAATTCTCTGAGTTGATCATAAGATAACAGTTTTAGCCATTTAATTTCCAGTTCCATTATTTTCTTCACTCAAGAGAGATAATCAGCTTAATTCTTCATTTATAGATAGTTTAGCTTGTAGTAGAGATTAGTCAAAGTTGACTGAACTAGAAAATACTTAGATTGAGATAGTTTGGAAGTCATAAGACAAGTCTTAAGATATAATTTTGCCTTTTCAACCTGTCTCTCTTCTTACATGATATGATCTATACAGAACATCTGATCTCAAAGCAGGTATTTTTGACTTCTCAAAACTTCTGCAGCAGGTGTCCATTTTCTAACTTCTTCATGCACCTTGCTAAAACTGAAGTTGTATATGTGATTTATTATCTGAGATAGATATAGTGCTGGAAGATTTTGTGAGGACACTTAGGACAAATGAACTGAGTGTCAAAAGGAAGCGTGAGAAGCTCTATAACTAGAATCGTAGGAGAGTAGGTGTATAGGTGCGGCGAGCGCTACAGAGGGAGGAGAATAGCGATGGATCAAACGTATGTGTAGGATTGAATAGTAGCTAACCACTGAATCTCTTGAAGGAACTTTGAGGATTCAAGGTGTTTATATACATGAATGAGTAGCAATAGGTTTTATCTCTAATCTTCCATGAAATGGGGATTCTCCATGAAGTGCTGATCCTATCCTCCAGGAAGTGCTGATTCTAAAGGACTGATTTTTGAGAAGTGCTGATCTGTGCTGATCCCGAGTGCTGAATCTTGAGATGATGCTGATCCTAGGAGGTGCTGATCCTAAAGTGCTTTGATAAGCAGTGTGAGGGCAAGGAGCTAGTATAGAGAGTCTTGGCATCACAGGTTCACACATGCCAAGCTGATAGACTCAGAATTCAGCTTTGACAAGATTAACTTGATGATACACTTGAAGTCATCAATGTCATCTTTTAGCTGCATCAAAATGCTCTGTTGATAAGTGATACTCACATGTATCTGTTAAAAAATGATAGGTCAAATTGAGAATCCATTCCCAGCAGCCTGGGTTTTAGAATGTGGTATTAGATGCCATTAGCAAAGAGTTGACAAAATCAACCCAGCTGGTCATTGAGATGCTGTGCTGTGTAAAATAGGTTGCCATGCTCTGCAACATTCTTTGATCTGTGGAAATTTCTTCAACAATATTTGAAACAGGATAAGGTAAAATTTTCAATGACAATATTGTTCTGGGAGACCTATTCTTTGCTCTGCTGATAGATGCTGCTATGATAAACCTCACTCCCAGATCCTTCATTTCAAAGCACTACCAGAGAGGTACTCAGAAGTGCTTCCTGCTCAGTTGGTGCAAGGGACGTGTTGCAGGGTGAAGTGCAATAAGTAGGCCAGTTTTGACTTTGGTCTTGTAACTCTATGAGTACAGTATACATTTGAATATGGACAAGGATGATGGACCTACCTTCACATTCATGACCTTGATTGAATAATGAATGTTCTGCTTTGGGGGTTTTGAGTGGTATATGTGACTTATCATGACAAGAACATCTGTGTCTGTAGGCCTTTTGACAACATCTACACTCATGCACTTAAGAAATTATGAAGAATGACATCTCAATGGTGAGTAGACATGAATGGATCTGCCCAGTGAGATCACAGGCGGTTTCAAGAGAATACTTTAACAACCCAGCCAAATGAAGGAAGCTGGGAAGCCGCAAAGGAAGGCTGTGGTTGACCACTACTGGGTCAGTATATAAAAAAATCAGAGATGCCCAGGGGATATGCAAGTTAATACCACATTTAATCCTGCCCTTCTGTCTTAACTAGTTACACTACCTTCACTACCTGTTTGCAAGGTGCACTATCCCTTCTACTTTCACAGATAGGTTGTTGATACACCTCCTCTTCCTCCACAGAAGCTGCTGTCTCCTCTTTCGACTCATCGTCCACGGTCATGGCCAAAAGGCACCACGCACCCGCTCTCAACTCAAGTTGGTGCACTCCCTTCACCCTTAGGTTGCCCCTGCGCACAGATCTCCTCGGTGCCTTTGCTGAAGGAACAAGCTCAGACAACGTGGTAAGTCTCTGGGGATCCAGGCGAGCTCGTTCGGGAGAGGGAGATCAGTGTTAGAATCTTCGGAGACGTTCTCGAGTGGGAGCTGAATGTGTGCGGTTTTGAATTGTGGCAAATGGCTGTTGTGACTCGACCGTGCATCAGACATCAACTTCCAACCACTTATCGAAAAACCACAGTTTGAAATCCATCACATCAACTCGCTGTTTATCACACATGTATCCGTTCCGCACTTTCACAATTTCTGAAGGTGCTCTGCCAGGGCCCGACCACTTAGACCCACTGAACACTGGGCTGACATTGCGACGTTCAGCTTCTGTACCGTCACTTTATTTCGGAACCCTCGACTGACTGAAACCCGACAGCTTCTTCTTCATGGATTTCATAGCAATCCATTTCTTATTCTAGAGTTCTGCTAAAAGCTAGAAGTACTTCCACAGTAAGTATGAAATACCGTCATGAGAAATGTGTTAATATCTCGCTGGTTGATTCGACGATTGTAAGGCCAGTGTACACAGCAAACCGTAATGTCACCTGTCCCGGGGGAGAATACTTGAGTTCCCTAGATTCTATAATCAAATGATTGAACGAGATCCACGAAAAATGATCGATCAGGACATTGGTGAAAGCTACACCGATCTCAGAAGTTCTAGCCAGGCGTTGGCAAGAACTGTGGCCCAAACTCCGCCAAGAAGACTGCAGGGGATAATTCAAAGGTGATCTTCGCGCGAGATTCACGTGAGCTTCAGGTGAAGCTACCGGATGTAAAAGCGGCCGGGAGGCTAAGCCGCGTCTGGGAAGGTGGCTCGTGCGCGGTACCGCCGCGATACCGTCGTTGACGGCTAGAAGCAGACACCGGCATACCAAAAGCGGCCGTCGATACGGTGAGAGATTGATTCGATCTGTAATTATTGAAAGAATTATACAATATTTGATTTTTTTTGAGTTTTAACTGTAAAAAAATTTAAAAGAACTTTTTATTAAACTAATATTCATAATGAATTTAAAAAAAATAAAATAACTTTAATTATATGAAAAATATCTAATGAGTTCATTTAATATCAATAATTTATAAGTATTATTATTAATTGAAGAAAATTAAAAATTTTAATATTATTATTATTAAATAAACTATTTTTTAGTTAAATTTAAAGATCTAAAAACTATAAAAAATAGTTGAAAAGTTAGAAATTTTAAAAATAATTTAATATAATGAAAATTCATAAATTTTATTTTAAAAAAATAAATTTAACTTTAATTATATACTTTGAGATTTTATATATATAACTATAATATAAATAAAGTTATTTTAAATAAATATTATGATTATATATTAATAAGAAATAATAATTTTTTTTTCTTTTTTCTTTTTTAATAAATTCATTTTTATATTTATGAAGTATTAAGAACATTCAAAATGATATATTTATAATTTAAAGTTTATTTAAAAAATTATTATCAAAATTATTTTAACATAATAATTAAAACTTATATTACAGATAAAAATACTATATTCTCAGATATATATATATATATACTTAAATTTAAACATATTTATTAGATATAGTTAAAAGTTAATTAAATTTTTCTAAATCTTAAAATTTAATCTCTTATAGTAAAGTAAATAATGACTAGTATACTATAGTAACTGAGTGTATGTTGCAACTTAATAATTATAAAGATGAGTAATCAAATAATCTTTTAATATTTAAATTAAATGAATATTAAGTTATAAAAATACATTTTAATTAAATTTTTGTATTAATTTTTTAGTAAAGTTTTAAAAAAATATAATAAAATAAAAAATTATAATTTTAAAGCTGGTTTAATTTTATATATGTAAAGTTTTTTTATAAAATTGATAAAGTTTTCAAGGTAAAAACTGAAGCTTTTTTTTTTACAAAAAGGTAAATTAATTCATTAAGAGAATCATATAATTAAGTTGATAGATCAGTTGCATAATACCTTTATGAGATGCTGACATTTAACTTATGAATAACTTTGTTAATCAATCAATCAATAACACAGAAAACTGTTAAGCTTTTTGAATATGCTTCTATTTCACATTACTTTAAACTCATTAGAGTTATAGATTGAAGTCAGTCAATTCATTAGTTCTCTCTGCTCATATCAACTATCTGAGTTTCTATTAGATCATTATTGTAAAATAATCTCTAATAGTATGGTAAAAGTTGCAAACAAACAAATCAAATGAATTCTCACCTTTATATATCTCGTTCTGGCATAGTCGGGTAGGTGGTTGGAAGTAGCTGAAGTTTATACTGATTCCACAGACTACCATTATCGAAATATCTCAATGGCCCACAAATGGAGACCTCCCGGCTCGTTAAACCCAAAAAGCTGGGCTAGGCACTCCGGAATTCTTGTTATCCACTGTCATGGCTGGTGTGGTGGGGATGGATAACTCCACCACGATCAGTTGAAAACGGGATGTATGGCCTCCACATGGATGATCCCGTCCTGGCCACATTCTTCATACACACTCATATAAGAGAGAACATGCCAGCCACCCAATTGGGCACATTTCCTTGATAGTTATGACTTCATCGCACTGTGCATGGTCACGAATAGGCATCCTACTGTCTCTGGTGTCAGACCATCTGTAACTAAATCAGGATAGTGTATGATAATGACAACAAGGCGGTGCATAGTTTCAAAGAACCAGTCTGAATAACTGCCGCCCCTATCTTACCCACCGTGTTCAAACTTTGTCACTGATAAGCCAAAAAAAAAATAAAAATAAAAATAAAAATAAAAAATAAAAAATGAAAAATAATAAAATAATAAAATAATAAAAATTTAAAAATTTAAAGAAAAAAGAAAAAGAAGAAAAGAAATCCGGAGTTTCCTTCAATTTTTCGTTCTAATTTCCCGGCCCACCCCGGAATGGAAGGTCTTAAGAATATTCTTTTCCCACGCCGTTTGTTCCTAGTTAGAGCCTTCAGCCCATCCCATGTCACTAGGTAACCGTGTTCCAAGTGTGGAGTGGTGTGAGAACGCTGGTTGGTTTTGATAAGAAACATGCAGATGCTGAACGGGAAGTAGTTAAAACAACTGCATCAATTTGAGAGAATGTTATCATGTTTTCATCATGCATTAGTAATAAACCCTCTGAGACATTTATTGTTAGCAGTATTTGACTGAGAAAGGAATTTTCAGAGCGATGATGGAGATGATTATGAGGTGGATCCCGGATCTCCGACGAGATTGATTTTGAGCAGAACCATAGTTAACTACAGCCTCAAACCAATCGAGAAAATCAATGCTGCTCAACATAAAACAAAATAAAATCTCCGAAACACAGCGCATCAAGATATGACCGACGCAGAAGGATGTATTACGTTCGGGTCACCGGGATTCTCCATTCCTCCGGTTCTTGGTAATAGAGCAGAAAAAGTAATTCTTACCTTGGAAGAAAAGTACCCCTATGCCCTGGCTCTGTGCTCCACATCCCCACAAGGCCGAAAAGTTTAACTTTGTTTAAATAAAGTATATTAGATAAATAAAAATGGACGAAAAGAGCCAGCCATTGTCTTTTCACTTACCCAGATTAGTTGGAAATGGAATCTCGCCCATCCATGAATGAGAAGGTTTGAGATGATTGGTTGGTTATCGGGGCGAGGTGGGGGCTGATTGGGGTAACTTTGCTCCTGTTTTTGGAGTAGATTTGGTGAGATTATAGGCATGTGCTAGGATTATTTGATAGTTTGATAGGGAGGTGTGGGAAGGTGTGGGAAGGTGTGGGATATGGTTATACCCTTGCTATTCCGCGCTTAAGCGACTGATCCGGGGAAGAACGGGGAAAACAGGATGCATTGAGGTGAAAATCGTTTCGGAGAAGATGCGTCCAGAATACAATTCACATAGCAGTTTGGATCACCGGTTCGTTTGTATGTATGCAATGGAAAGGTTGAGAATCTTAGTAGAGGGTTAAAAGAGAGAGGACTCATTATATCAGTAACAAACGAAAGGACAGACCAAAAAACATCGTATGAAACAAATTCAAAAGGAGACGACGCGGCCATCATCAAAAGCATGAACGTAGGTGTCCATCAAAAGAAAACTCCAATATATATATATATATATATATATATAATAAATGCATAAAAATAAAACTTGAGGAAAGGAATCCGGTCCACCAGGCATTAGGAAACAAGAAGCATATCTCTCTTCCCAAGAAACCAAAAAGAAGAAATCCATATAATCAGCCCCCGATGCTTACAAAATTCCTAGTTCATGGGATATCACAAGAAATACAGAAACCAAATTATGTGCATGTATATCCAACAAGAGAACAATAAGATGTCGGCATGTAAAAGGAAAACACAACACAAGTATTTAGCTCCCTTCAATAAAATACGTCCTGCTCCGGCTCTTTGCAGCGATGGCCTTAGGATCATCCGGCAAGTGCATATGGTGAACAACGTGGGGTCGATAGACAGCGTCAACAGGTGCTTGCCAATCATCCAAACCGAGCGGGAAGTATTCATACAGAAGATCAGCGGTCTCATTGGGATTTAATAACTGGGACGCCAGAATCGGGAGCTGTTGCTGTTGGCTTAGAGTGGGCACGTTGCCTGAGGAATTGCGGTTGTGAGCTAGAGGTTGACGTTTTGTTTGCGGGACGGCAGGGATCTTCTGCGAGGCATCGATGGGGGATCCGTTGATGTCCTGCTGTCTCTGGCTGGGCAGCATGGCGGGAACTTGCATGATTGGGGTTGTGCCCGTGGAGTCTCCGCCGGAGTTTACTGGGCTTGAGCCGTCGTCAGCGAATGAAAGACTGATTGGTTGTCCCGTGACGCTAATACGTCGCCGCTTTTCGCGGGGCTGTGGTACTTCTGGACTGGATTGAGCATATGGCAAGGCCGTGTCATTTACCGTGGTGTTTGAAAAAGTTGGGGTTGGGAGAGCTGCAGAAGTGCTGGGTATTGTCTGCGACCAGTCCGCATACGTTGGAGATGGTAGCTGCGGTTTCTTATCCTGGTCCTGGGGAGACTTGCTGCGTTTCGTTGTTCCCAGTTGGGAAGAAGCAGTCTCACTTGTTGCGGTTCGGTTAGCATTTGCCTGGACGTGTTTTCTTGAAGATGCAGCACTGCCGCTAAGTGGTAGATCCTTTCGCGATTGGAAATTCCTTGGGCTACGACCACGCACGATTACGGGTCCGGAATGGGCCTCGCAGATGGGGATTTTAGCACCAGTGGATAACGTCGCGACAATCTTCAGTCTCACGACGAAGTGCTGCTGTAACTCCTTCCTCCTCCCATTATTCGCAGTAGCAATGCGGAACTGCAGGCGTTTCCAGGCAATTGAGAACGTGGCATATTCCGAATCTATATCTTGACCTGCCATAATATCCAAAGGAATAGAAGGGGGCTCCCTTTTCTGTCTTGTCTTCCGGCTGGCCAGCTGCGTTGGCCGCGGGTGTTTTCCATGGAACCGAAATGATCTTAACGGGGTTACCTTCAACCGACTCTGTTGCGGACACAGTGAGTTCCTGCGCAAGAATCGGAATGCGATCGCCTTGGTCTGTCATGATATATCTCATTGAACGAGGCAGCGTCACTGAGCCTGTAACCTGGAAGAGGTTTCGCCTGTAACATGTTAATTCAGCCATTGGGGGTGGCCCATTAGGTTTGGTAATTGGTGAAGCAGTCCAAGGCGATTCGGCAAGAAAGAACATGCCATGTAGCTGCGCAGCCATAGAGATTGAGATTCGTCGCAGTGAGTAATCTAACAGGGTGAAGTTGTACATGGGTATGGAAAAGCTGAGCAGTTTGTGGTTGTGGTTGATGGAGGCATCCTGTTGCGGCTGCTGGTCGGACGGTAGCGTTTCGTAGGGAGGCATCATTTCTGGGAAAGGGTCGTCAAAGTGATTACTGGAAAAGCGTCGCATAGGGTGCGCTGGCATTTGAGGTTGCGAAAACCCAATATCGTCGCCGCTATCAAAGAGAGTGGAATTGTTAGTCCGCAGAGAGGCAGGGATGGGAAGAGGGTATGATCCGAAGTGTACAGTGCGGCATACCTAACAAACGCATCATTTTCGTAAGTTGAATGGGACTCTGGAATCTCCAGGGAGGGCATCGCATTGAGATAGTCCGTATTTTGTATATTGGCAATGGATAACGGGCTGCCTAGATAAGGCATGGCGGCCATGGTGTCGAAACTCTCCATGGCTGCAAAAGAGGCAGACAAAGAGGTTGGGGGGGGGGGGAGGGGAAAGGAGAGATAGAGGCGGGCAGACGGGATGTAAAAGAAGCGTGCAGGTCGCAAACTAGCAGAAGTGAATTCGAGCGTTTGCTAGACAGATAGATATTGCGGGATATGAAGATGCAAACCCCCGCAATGAAGGTGGGTATTTAGCCGAGAAGTGAGGAGAAGTATGGCCAGTATAGGGAGGGCAAAGGGAAGGCAGGAGTAATAGAAACAGGCGAGGAGCAGAGAAAGGAGTGTTTGTACTCCGTCATCCAGCGTGTTCTGCTGGCGCGAATCAAACAGATTGGTTGATCGATAGACGGGATGTTTTGGGCTGTGCGACTGCGAGAGAAGAAGCAGAGCCGGTTTTGATGTTTGGGTGACGGCGTGATGAGATGATGGGGGTGGAGGTGCGGAGTGGGTTTGATTGAGGAGATGAAGTGAGGAGGTGGGTGGAGACAAGTATATAGACGGACTTGGGGGCGGAGGCTGGTTAAGTTAAACAATGCTCCCAGCAATCGGAAGTCCAGCAACCAGCAACCAAGTAATTTTTAACTAGTTAACGTTAAGCTAAAATAACTTGTTAACCACTAAAAGTGGCGTGGGGAAGAAAATGCGCGGGGAGATTCTGGAGTCAGGGAACTTGGAGAACTTGAGAACTTGAGAACTTGAGAACCTGAGAACTTGGGAACTTGGGAACTTGGGAACTTGGGCGATCCAACTCGCAGCGACAAGGGGCAAGGGAACAAACAGCACAGGGGAAACTTGTAAGTCTGGGGTTAGTTAGGGTTCTTTTTATTTGCAATGGTCTCTGTTCGCTGTTTTTGGTTGTCGTCATGGGGGAAGGGATCGGGTAGAGACACAGAGTGTAGTGAGGGAGTTGTTATAGTGAGGATGATGATGATAAAAATAACATTCAAATAACCAACTACTCTGTTTAGAACAAATGAGCTGGTAGCGAAGGGAACCAAGAGCCGCCCGAACCAAGATGCTTAAATCGGAGATATGGGAGGCGAGATAACTATGGGTGAGGGATAGTTAGTTACAAGTTTATTATGAAATCATAAACGATATAATTAAGGTCTGCATGAAATTTTTTCGCCTCTCAGCCCTTTGAGCGACCAGGCTCCCCCCTTCAAGTGCAATACGAAGACTGATACACAACAGGCAATTCCCCCATCCTTCCGTCATCCAGAGTCGGGTTGAGAGGTTTATAAGTCACAAGCTCTTGATCTCTTTCAGCCGGATCAAACAATGGGGGAATAATGTCTAACTCCTCACTTGGAGTCTGATTGATGCATGCAAACATTCTCTGGTTTATCCGATATCCCTATCAGCATCGCTACAAATTTGAGTTTAGAAAGCTTTTGTAAATCCTCTACTTGCCTCTCTCTCTCTCTCTCTCTTTTCTTTTCTTTTTTTTTTTTTTTTTTTCCCGTCAAATGACAAGAAAAGGGCCATTCTTAATTATTTGGAATTATTTGGCATCATCACAATTGCTTACATCCGGATTTACATCTGCTCAGCCCAATGCTCTGCATATTAATTTCATCCCCTAGGCTTGAAGGACCGCGGGTTGCGTACACCGCTTCTGGAGGCAAGGTCAGCTGGCTATGTAGAACAAACATACACACCCTGCAGGCATTCTTCCCCAGACATGTATGGATACATGCGCATGCTTACAGGACATCCACCCGCGGGTATCGTGAGCGTATGGCCCCTTTAATATTTAGCTTGGGGCCATATGTGGACCCTTCCCGCTCATTCCCCGGCAGTTCACATCTAACTTCATACCAGCTCTATTAATCACCCGGTAACGGGCCCGTCCAGCAGCAAAAAGAGCAGAAAGAGAAAAACACCCAGCAGATACGAGATTGTACAGGGGACAATTTGAGCGTGGTTTAAAAGTTGGAGCCCGCTTTGCGACAATCCGTCGCAACATTCTACTGAACAATCGCTATTCCACCGCACCACCTCAACACAGAGGTTAAGTTAAGGGAAGGTTAGGATTAGGGTTGGCGAAGGGTAATTAAGTGTGTGAGATATGTGTGAGGTATGCTAGTGCATGTAGTTTTAATTGGCGGGGGGGGGGGGGGGGGCTTCACGGTTGATTCAACTTTTTTTAAAACCACGTTCAACTTTACGCCTAGATTGTTCCATGCTAGAACCTCCTCAGAAAAGTTGAAACCAACGAGATGTCGAGATCTGGACGCCCAAACCTTGATTATTGCGGATCGCTCTTCGATTAAGTTATTCCAAGAAAACTTGATCAACGGAGCCACGGTTCACGCGTAATCGTATCGCTGCAAATCTGTAACTCAAAGTTTCGTCACAACACCACGTGGTCAGGAGTTTCTTGGTAGCTCAAAATCCAGACTCATTGCCTCGTCTCAAGTCTCGCCTCAGGCCGGGATTAGAATAGAATCGACCACATTGAACAACAACAACAACAACAACAACAACACATGGGAAGGTAACAACTCTCCAACAAGGAGAAACCCATCAAGAAAAGGGGGGGAACAAGAATTTCCTGTCTTCTGTTTAGTTAGTTATATGAGAGAAATGATCTCGAGTCCTTTTCGGCGTCTCATCTGCCTTTCTGATAAATGCTCTCTCATCGCGCCATGGACTTCTGGCCATTTTGCCCCAACGTGTACTTCGCCGTTACATGGGTTAGCTGACCTTGAGAAATCCTTCCTATCATACCTAATATGTTCTTGAACGCCACATTCCAATTTGTGGCCAGCATCAGCAAAATGCATGCTGGTCTTGTATTTATTATTGGCATTTTCCATTTCCATGGAGAAAAACGTTAGGCTTTGAGAGATTCTCCCAAGACTCAACCATGGCTGCAGAGGAACCCTGCTGGTTTAACAACACATTGTTACTAAATACACTGCTAACGCCCCCCTTTCCCAGAGATGTCCAAAATAAGTGATTCTTCGAGAACAGTCTGAGCAACTCACAAACGAGAATCAAAAGTTGCTTGCAATGTCCCTTTTGTCGTACGCCTCTGATGTGCTGGGTAATGTCACACACAGGGCTAGCAAGTAATCCCAAGAAAATACCCTCAATAAGTTTCTCTTGGTCTAAGATACGGCGTCCGCAGCTCATCAGATTATTGGATGCTTACTGTCGGCAATCACTGCCTCTCCGCTTTGTTCCTCTTTGGAATCCTGAAATCCCCACTTGGCCACCTACCTAGCGGTAAAAGTTCTTCTTTGACAGGAGCTGATCAATACCCTCTACTCCCCTCCGACCCAATCATTTGGAGAAGACAGCGCCTGACAATCAGCGCAAGATTAGAGGGGTAACTCAAAGGTCAGCTAAACAAGAAACCAAAATAATAACCCTGGTAGAAAAATAATCAAATCTCGGTCACGGAAGGGCTCTCTTTTTTTTTTTTTTTTTTTTTTTTTTTCTTTTCTTTTTCTCTCCGGATTCCATAACAGTGTGCTAATAATAATTCTTGAATTTCTCCGGGGGGGGGGCCTAGGGGAAGGTCCTCTGCTGCTTTCATCACCTGTTTTTTTCTAAGACAACGGTTGAAACTCAAATGGTATTATAATATCACTGCCGTCAAGGAAGGGCGTAAATATAGATGCAGGAACAATATTCTTTTCTCTCTTGGCTCCCTTCTGGGCAGCATCAATCAATCCTCCCTGGAATGGGAGTTCGTCAAGCACTAATGGAGAATTACCAGCTGCTAGCGGTAGCGAAACGGCTAACCGACGTCCAGTTGGTGATGTCCAGATCCAAGAGGGATGGTATATGTGAGTACTGACTTTGTACCCGAAGGGTGCACTCGGAGAGAAACAAAATGCACATCGATCAGTGGGCAAGGACCAACAAAGACATTGCCATCATCCATGTATGGTCGGCCTACTTTCCCCCCTCTTCGTTAAGCGAGGCAGAGACCTCCCTCCGCCTCATTACCTACCTGAAAATTGAAAGCGAAAACGAAAGTGATAACGTTAATATCGCAAATCCAAAAAACCCACGACACTCGCAGGTAGCCAAACTGAGAGGATGACAGGAGAAGTGAAGACGATTCAATGGCGATGCGATTCCATCGTGCTTTATCTCGCTTAGATAGTCCTTGTGCTAGGGCATAGTGATTGTCATTGGATGGACAGCGATGATGCATGCATGCAGTGTCATGTTTTACCTTGGTATCGGACCCTGAACACATGTCAAATGGGAGATGACATGATTCCATGAAGTGGATTCGACGCAGAGATTGGAAAAGGGTAAATTCAGAATTCCAAAAGGTAATTAAGATGAAAAGGAGCTTGGAACTTTAAAAAAAAAAAAAAATCATAATTTTTTTGATTCGAATCTGCAGTGTGTCCCCCGGAGTTAAAAAAGGACGCAGGCTCGGGAAGCTGCTTGGCTTACGCAATCTGCTGGTCACGGCGGAGCGGCATCTTAATGTCTTTATCAATCTAATCTACAGATATAACTATTTGTTTCTTTTGCCTCGTTTATCTGCGCCGCGGCGAAGTCTTCACGGGGCTCAGTCCAGGTTGCGCACTCCCTTCTAACTCAAATCTAACCATGTAACTAGTTAGTTAACTAGTTACCGCATACACAAAAATTCCAAAACCCGTCATATCGTTTTGCAGCAGACACCCGGTTAATATACCCCAGGGCATCCCCGATAAAGGCCATATCTAAACAGAGTCGGAAGCATGACCAGTGAGTCTGACCAGCGTCTGCATGGCCCGGCTATGCTCGGCAACGGGGAACGGGGAACGAGGAGTTTTAGCCCGCCATCGTCATCTCTCCCTCTTATGGTTTTTATTTTTTATTTTTTTATTTTTTATTTTTTATTTCTTCGTCCTCTTCTAGAATGTTCTCATGGAATGAGGCGGGAGGACCTGGAGATCCAATTCGCATTTTTGATCAAGCGAATACGGGGGCAACAAGGTTTATATGTTGTGCGGCGTACGCCTCAATAATAGGGATAAGTTTTTATAAATATACGAGCCCCATATGAAATCAGGAGGAGTTCCACGAGCAGTTTTCCCGGCTTCTGATTGAGATGCGGAGATGAAAAAACCGAAATCCGCTTGTTCCGGGGAACCCACCCCGTGAACCAGGGATTCGAGAGAAGCGGGTGGTCCTCCCAAGGGAGCCTGACCTCAGTTTTCCCAGCTTGTTGCCTCTTTTATTTGCAGCTTTTGCACGAGAGGGCGCCGGGTCCCGGATGTGCTTGTTCAATAATATACGCCCTGTGTTGGTCCAGGGCCCTTCCCCCAAAACAATGTTGAGAACTTGACAGTGAAGTAATCTGTAATTTAGTTAACTCCATACTCAAGACTTTGGGAGAGGACTTAGCTAAAAGCCTGAAACGTAGTGAAAGTTGGGAACAACAATATCTTCAGAAATCTCTTTAGCGTCTGGGGAGGGTAAAATAACGATTGGATCATCCTCCCCACAACCGACCTTGGATTCCTTGATTTTGCTTTGATGTCTTTTTAAACTTCGTCAAATCACTCAGCCACGGTAACCAGACTGTGCCTCCTCCACTCTTATAGCCAGCCACTTCGTCCTCCATCTTCGTGCAGATAACCTGACTGTGAAAGTGTGACAAATCTATTGCGATGCAATCATCCTGGTCGCCGCGGAGAAGATTGCCGGATATGCATCTTTCACTTCGTGCATTTTCAACGCCTTTGTTGTTCTATTCGGTCAGTGACGGTTTTGTATTCCGGTTCTGATACCTCCGATTTCTGGATGGCATCTACTGCCACAGCCTTTCTGGGTTTTACTGCTTCGTCTTTCGCTTTGTCTGAATGTGAATGCACTGGACGTCTGATTTCTACCACAGATTCACTTGCATCCCACGGTTCTAATGTTGATTCAGGCTCTTAAAATACACAAAAATCGTGATCCGAGTAAACTCGGCGGGCGCTTAGCATGTCTCAACACTAGCCTTTCTGGCGCCTTTTGGCTGATTGTATTTTGACTTGCTGGCTTTGGGGCACCGTAGCCCCAAGTGTAAAAGGGCTGAATGCGCTGATTGAAATGGTTGCGGAGATTCAGATACGGCTAATTCAACGGCCTGCGCAGAGCATTTTGCCCTGAGGAATATTTGGCATGGGACAAGTATATATACCTAGCTCTATGACGCTTTGGCTCAAACGCTACAGGGGCCTGGACTTTTGAATACCCGTCCTGGACAGAAGATAGTCCATTAAAGTACTTGCATACGCGTGGATGCACAAGTAAGTTTAAGGGTTGTTTTTCTGTCTAACATGTTTTTTTTTTTTTTTTCTCTTTTTCCTTTCGGACAGCGAGAATTCTCCCCTTTGCAATAAACCAAACTAGCGTAGGAATATCAGGTTAACTTCACTATTTGACTCGGCGCCTGGTACAATTAGGAATCCATTACCGCTCCAACGAGAGAAGTGGATCTGTGAATCTTGAGTGATCAACCTTGGGTGATAAGCCTGTCTTGGTGCAATGACATTGCGGCCCAGGGTCCCTCCTTTTGAAGCATTCTGTCTAACGGCCCAGACCGAATATCGGACCCATATCCGTGCTAGCGCGCAGGTCTCCCGTTAAACATCTGAGAATAAGGGGGCAAATTGGAGGGGAAGCTTTTGAATCATACCTGCCAACGGCACAGGCATCTTGCACAGCTGTCTTCCGCGTCGACTATAAACGGGCCCTAATGCACCTTGGGTCCTTGACGCAACGGTGCATTCAATTGCTTGTCACTTTCTCGGGTCCCTAATGCCCCTTCTCTAATCTCAACGTCTGGGCCATAACTCTCCCAGGTGATGAGCATTGGATAAGCTATGCTTCGCCTTCTCATTTAATGTCAATTCGATACTGACCACAGTTACTGCGACCAGGAACTGTTAGTTTCACTCTGGAAATCCTAGAAAAGGGAATTTCTGTCTGACGATTTGAAATATAGAAGATGGTAGAAAGCCATTATTGCCATTGTGTTGAAAAATTATTATGTTTTGGACAAAATATGGGCTATGCATTCTATCCCTGACCTCTCATCTGTTTGAACATTGGAACTGTACATACATACATGGACATACGTGATCTCACCCCTCTTTTCATCATATCCTCTGCACAACCTCCAAATGCCTGTGATAAGATTAAACACCGATACAGTAGTGGTTGTAAATATATATGAATCGCCATGCAGTGGTCCGGTATCCGTTATGTTGCAGCTATTCCCAACTAGTTACCAGCAAAGGGCAGACAATCATAAATTATCATTTTCAGCTGTCGCAAATTCTTTGAGCAGTCTCTAAACTTTTAAATACCATGTTGTTTCTCTATTATTATTGTTATTATTACCACTACCACACTGGAGAATCACAATAGCATTCACTTGACTTCACCTAATTAACGTGGATTTCATGTTGAATGGTCCCCGGAGTTTATTGACTTGAAATGACCAATATATCTCTACATATACGCTGCACAACACGATCCCAGTTCCAAACTTGTCCCAATAATATTTCCCGCTGGGCAATCTCGCTCCTTCGCGTTCAAGGCAGCGCAATCATCGTGTCTGTCACAGTTCCTTGCTTGTTATTCTGGGCCGTTCGTTTTGGGAATTTACGGTGTATCCCATCTACATGGATAACTATGTACCACAAGTCACTCCGCAAAAGTATTGGCAAACCCCATTAAAATGTATTTCTGCTGGAGCAGGTAGGAAAGAAGTGGGAGTGTTGCTAATACTTTTGGGTTAGTACTGTATCAGAGTCGTTGGGAACCCCTCCCTCAGCGACTATCCCCCGACCTTAAAGATGTTCGTAAAATCTATTAAACATCTCTTTTCTGTTGGATAAATGGAACATAAGTCGCACTTCATTTCCATATATTTTCCGGGTAAGGTTTGACCCGCAAACAGGGTGTCCGCCCGTTGGTCTACGATGGGCAGCATATTCACATCCTTGGAAGCCCAGAAGCTCAATAAAAGGTCCAGATTCCTTCCTCAGTTTGCTTGAAGATAAGGCTTTGCCCGAATGATTATTCCATTAAGACAGTGTCTTTCGATTAGTTACCTTTTTCTCCCATACATTTTGGAAGGTGTCTCGATACGCCGCAGTTCACGCTAACCCGCAAGAGATCTCTGGCTTCAACGCCCGACTGCCTTTCAAATCGTTCAAGATGAGGGCATGGAGAGCAAACTGGAAGGGAAGAGAGTAGCCATCAGTGGCGTATCTTCTGGCATTGGCGTCGAAACCGTTCGTGCAATCGCAGCAACAGGGGCGACGCTCTACCTAACGGCCAGGGAGGAAAAAATCAAAACCTCCCTCAGGAAAGTAGTTAAGCCAGACAGGATACACCTGGTCCAGATGGACTGGGCTTCCCTAGAGAGCGTCCGGAATGTGGCGAAGGAGATATTAGAAAAGACAGACAAAAGTTAATATTCTCATCAACAACGCCGGCGTAATGGCCTTGTCGGGTCTCCTGCTCACAATCAACGGCTATGAATCTCAACTTGCAATCAACAATTTGTCCCATTTTCTGCTCTTCCAACTGCTGAAACCTGCGCTGCTATCTGGTACCACGCCAGAGTTCCAGTCTCGTATGGTAACAGTGTCGTCTTCGGGACACAAGAGTCAGCGGCATTAACGCTCCCGATAATTATAATTCTCAATAAGAGGAGTACACCCCTTTCCAGGCATACGCGCGGCCAAAACGGCAAACTTATATATAGCCAATGAGATAGAACGTCCGCTTCGGGAGCCAAGGTCTCCATGCAGCAAGCTTGCATCCCGAGTGCATTCCCACTCAGCTGGGGAAACACCTCTCCGCAGAACATTTCGGGGGTATACCTCAAAACCCTGATTAAGTGAAATTGATCAGAAGCCCTGAGCAGGGTGCTGCCACTACCATTTCGGCCGCCATTGGTAAGGAGCGGGAAGGTAGAGGTGGTAGGTATCTTACGGATCGTTCTGAAGCGGAACCCGGAGAGGATGATGGCGACGATTGGAGTTCAGCTAGTACGAGTCACCTCTACAGCCCCGAAGACGAGGCAAGGCTATGGAATGATTCATTGCATGTGGTGGGCTTATCTAGTGAAGAGTGGTGATTATAAAGCATGCGTGCTTGCATACATACATCCATGGGCCGCAGCCTGCTTCTCCCATAGTGTCGGGATATCTCAATAGCTAATGTTGCATCAAGTTGAGCTGTGTATTCTCCGCATCTAATCTTCTAACTAACTAACTGCTAGGAATAGGGTGGTATATAACAGAAAATGTGCTGGGCTGACTAAGATAGTTGACATTCGTGAAGGGGCAGTTCATGCTCAATGTAGGTGCCAAAAATTTGTATCATTGTTAGATAATTGCACCGTATTATATTTATAGTTGAATCGGGCATAATAAAATACTACTCATATTCAACATATCTATGGAGGCCACAGGAATGGTAACATCTTCTCTATCATTTCTGAGTTGTGCTTCCCAACTAGAAAGCGGTGAATAAGATCAATATATTTAATCAGTAGGTCTTGAAAAGTGGATATCCATCTCCATTTTTTATCCATACTAAAATAAGTAGCAAGAATCCTCATAAGCCGGTTTCAACTGGGTATAGTATTTACAGCAATGAAAGAAGACCAGGAAGAAAGACAAGACCTGAGAAAAGAAATTCCCAAACCCAACGGCCAAAGGGCTCTGCCACACTGAAAACAGGTGCCAAGAAAAATGAAAGATGGCAATGAAATACATGGAAAATCCAGGGAAAGTAACTGGGTTATGTAGCCCATACAGAGGAATAAGGGAATAGAAACCACCAGGAAAATAACATGGCGATCGAATTGACATTAATGTCGTGAAAATGAGGTGAGATGGAACGTGGATCAGAAGCGGGTCAGGAGGTGAGGATCCGGGATGAAAAGTTAAAATGGAGGCGAATAGATCAGAAGGTCGTTGATTCGAGGGCACTGGTAGAGGAAGAGGAATTTTTAATACATTCACAAGACTTGCCATAGCACAACATCTTGCGCTAGGGAGAAAGTCTCGCATTCTCTGGATCGGACTGAAAAAGGTGATCTTATCCAGGTATACACAGCGTATATGCAAGGGAGAAAAATCCATCGAAATAATGAAAAACTTGAACGCTCAATAGCAAAAATAAATAAATAAATAAATAAGATGCGGCGAGCACATTTTAGAGCAGATGTGATATTTTGAGAACGCTCAAAAAAAAAGGAGGGAAGAGGGTTTTAAGGGAACTGAAAAAGGAAGATCGAATAAAATCATCTGATGAGAAGATTTATCAGGGAAGAATTATGGCGTCCGTGCTAATGAGTTATCGGCATAGAGTCGGGAAGGTAAAGTGTTCTCTACCGCTCATGAAGCGGACATCATATTCCAGTTAGAAACGTCGCAGGTGACTTCATCGAAGCTGTGCAGCACAGAAAATCCCATGGAGGAGAGACTATCATAATTTCCGTCGCCGTCAACCTGTTTATTTTGCGTCAAGGGACAAGATTAGCCACGGGGTAAAATTTTCGCAGCCCAAACATGGGAATGAGGGAATTGGTGGAAAAGCTCTCGTTGCGTAATAGAAAAAGATGCAATTAACAGATGGAGAGAGCCAAGGAGTTAAATAGGAGCAACAAAATGTACGTACGCAATCAAGAACTGCTGCACTAGCCCCTTGCTTTCGTATCTGCTTGATCCCCAGTAATATTAATCCCTGCACCAGCGTAGCATATTCCCCCACTGAAGGGGATATCACCGGCGAAGAGATCGCCCCGGATATCGCGTGAGTTTCCCTAAGGGCGGGCATTGCCTCCGCCAGCGTCGAAGTAGAATTATATACTACCACACTACCCAGTATCGTTCCGTCTTCACGGCGTTTAGCCCGAATAATACCACTTCCAGGCGCACCGCTTAGCCCCCTCTTGTAAAGCTCCATAACCCCCACGCGCGATGTAGTCTTGACATGATCCAGAACCGAGTCTGCATACTCCCAGCCATAAACAAGATCATAATCCACATCAGAGCTCTGTAGGATTTTCGTTAGCCCCTCTGGTGGCGTCCAGTTTTCGAGATTTCGCAGGACCATGCTGCAAACTGAGCGAGAGAGGGCTGTGTTCCACCCCAGATTGGCGAACCACTGCCTAAGCCTCTTGCGTTCCACTGGGTTGCCTGTGGGGATTCCCAGATATATCCCGGGTAATCTGGCGCCGAGCTGGAAGCTTCGGATGCCCGGACGTTGGATCAGTGTTCGGATTGCACGGTTATGAAGTGAATGGCCAATGGACATTCTTCGGCGGGAAGGGTCGACAATAAGCGCGCCGATCACACCGGTTCCGGTGGATTTGAAGTAATATGTCGAGCAGAATCCATAGAGCGAATGAGTGCTACTGTTTCTTACTACGAAGTGAGACTCTTCCACGTCGTTGTTGCGTAGAAGAAGAGTGGAGGAGGTTACGCTAAAAAGTTCAGACCGTTGGCCTTGAGTAACATCTTCTCTAACAATATTGAGGAGACTATCGAGAGCGTGGGTATCCCGGTCTTCGTTCCAATTCTCCACCAACCAGTGTTGCCTTGATTGTTGCAGTCTCTGGTTACGGCTGAGAGAGCCGGGAAGTGAGCCCGTGGGTACCAGCTCTCCATATAGAATCTTGACTAGAGTTTGAAGGGCGGTTTCTGTGAAGTCGTAAGTGCAAATATAGGTACCTATAGACTGATCTGTAGCAAAATCATAAGGCGAGCTGACAGCTACAACAACCACAGGTTTTGCGCGACGTTCTCCACTGGGAGAAAATTGGGAGTTGCAGATAAGGGACACATGCTTGGTAAAACCGTTTTGGTAAAGGTTTCTATTTGCATCAGCAGTGACGATAATGACTGCGCTTGCACGATCGATTAAATTTTCATGGACAGGCCGGACACCGTTGGCCGTGTAGGAGGTATGCAAAACTCGCCCGTTCCTCTGTCGAGCTAACGACCGCCCAAACTCTCTGAAAACGCTCTCGCCGCTCATCACGGAAGCATTGCGTTCCCATGAGACGGCATCAGTTGAGAGTGATGGTCGATTTGAGTTTTCGGTAACAATCGATAACAACGTGGCAGACGCAGGGAGTGGCTTAACCAAAGGTGTGAGGAGAAGAAGTTCTTCGTCGGGTTCCAGGATACTCGTTAACGGAAGGTAATTGTGTTTATCTCTGACAACGGTGAGGGAACTGTTATATGCTTTGGTGGATAGACTTGTATGTGACGGTTGCATTCTTGAAAGAAGGCTGATTCCTTGGGGATTCAATGCTTTTTCCCATGACGTGCATCGCGACTTCATATCCAGGACCCTTCGCAATGATTCGCGTATCCGGCTTTTACTAATCATACCATTCTCTACCCCTACCTTTAGCCCATTGATAGCTTCCTGTTGAATAGAGAAAGAACGACATAACAGGATGATGTCACAGCCCGCCTTCATGGCCATGACTGTTCCACCGCGAACCCCTATGTTGTAACTGAGCGCCTCCATTTCTAGGCATTCTGAAACGACCACGCCGTCGAATTTCAGGTCTTTTCGCAGGAGGTCGTCCACAACCTGTTCGGACAAACAGGCATGCATGACGGTCATCCCAGCAGACGACATTGCACATCCTCCTACCATCATGGAGTCTATACCATTTGTGATTGCGCTCCTGTATGGCACTAGCGCGCTCACGCTGAGTTGCTCAATCGAATCCGTGATAATGGGAACATCGGATTGGGAGCCCATATAATCTAAATTGCCATACGAGGGAAAATGCTTTCCGCAAGTTACCAAGCCCGCATCTTGATAGCCTTTCATAAACTCGATGCCATAGGCAGATACCTCCTGGGGGTCATCGCCTACACTTCGAACACCCAGAGGCTGGTTTCTGGCATTCGTCAACGCATCTAGCACGGGACCCAGGATCCAATTTATACCAACTGCGCTAAGTTCCTGAGCAGTAGCCTTAGAAACTTCTCTGGCGAGAGATTTCGAACCAGTCGCAGCCATCCCCATGGCGCTGGGGAACTGGCGAATGTAAATTTCATCGAAGAGACTATTGACACCGCCATTTTCTTGGTCGAGACATATCATAAGTGGCACAGGATGGCCAGCATTCCGCGCGATGGATTGTAGCTCGTACACCAGCTTGGTCGTTTCTTCTGCCGCTACATTTAAATATTAGCTTCTGAAAACGATTTAAGTTAATATGAAAGTGCTCAACGAAGGCATCGTCCATGGAGAAGGTGGCTGGGCTGGTCCAATCATGATGCCTTGTCCCCTGATAATAATAAAACTGATAAATTGATACATATCGAAAGGGCCAAGGGCACGGGGAGTGGTATTGTTAAGAGACATTACAATGAATAAATATTGGTTAGATGCGGGGTTGGAAGAAAGGAAATAGGGGAGGGGAGTTTGCACATTTCAAATTCTTAGCGGTCAATATGACGGAACCGAGATGATAGTCCTCGATTAGCGAACGGATCTCAGAATTAACACTAGTACCATCGAAGCCCATGACAAAGAGCTGCCCCATCTGCCTGTAGTCGAACTCGCGCATTTTGGCGAGGTTCTCTGTTAGCTCAAGCACGTTATTTTCATGTCTGGGATGCAGAGCAGCATCCATCAATCGAGTTGCAGAGAGGATATTTTGGGGAAACACAAAAGAACGTCAGATGGATTGGCATGGGGGGTAGTGACAGGATACAGTGTGATTGTTTTGCAGCAGCAGAATGTTTCCGCGATTTGAAGGGTGATGGTTACATGTTGTGGGAAGGGGAGAGAGAATTTGTTTACATGTAGGCAGGCAGGCAGGTAGGTATGTATAGTCCATCGATGAAATTAACCACATCCAGTTAGGAGGAGGGGAGCAAAGCTGTTTGCAGTGTAACAAAAAGTTAAGCATGAGAAGTTTTTAAAAATCCGAAGCCTACCTATCCAAGTTCTCCCACTCGAGAGGAAGCTCGATCTCCATGCCATCCATGGGGTGATACATATGCTGACCGTGTCGAACCCGTTATCTGCTACCACCTTGGGTTTCGCCCAGGCGGCTCCCCGCTACTCAACCGAGTTCCGATATTCGCGACCACTCGGACTCGGAGCAGATTTAGAGGAAGGAACCTCGCGGGTAATCACCGTGTTCTGCCGTAAAACGGATAGGCAGAGCAGCCTACACGGGTTTGGGCGCAGTGGTGGATTGGCGCCTTGAGAGGTTGGTAATCAACCGCCTAACTGACTCAACGGAGGGAGATGGATCGCGCGTGGGGCTCGATGGGCAGCAGAGCTCAACGGGCGATGATGGAAGAAAGGCTGCTGTTACGGTCACAGTTCGTGAGTCGCAGTGCAGTTGGAGTTGCAGATGGAATGTGGCGCCGCCAGCAACCAACTAGCTCCCATGATCAATCGGAATTAGATTAACCAAGGTCAGCTAGCTGGCGCTAGGGGGTTCTCAAGCTAGCAAGCTCGCTAAGCGCAAAGCCAGGAGCTCAAGGGCTGATTGATATATACCAACAGTCGTGAGCCCGTGGAACAAACGTGGGAAATTGTTGACTCGTACGTCTGACTGTTGGCCCCCTTGATACGACGTCTGGAGCGGAGCGAAGCCGTTGGGTATGTGAAAGATGAGGTTTGAAGTTGAAGAGTGGCCTCGGGGACATTAGACCGTGAGGTTGATTAACTACTTGACGAGACATCAAAATCAAAAATGTCTTTAACCTTCACCGAGACCTCTAAGATCTCGGTCCTCCTTGCGGGAAGTCTATTCTTCCGAACGCAAATTCAGGGAGCATGCTAAAAATCTATCAACCAACGTCCCGGATAGGTATATTTCCCCTAATCCACTTCGTTACCCATGGTTCTCCGTGCGTATTCTAAGTTTTATCGCCACACTATCCAGCAGCCATGAGGTCCCAAATGAGCATACTGAGATGCCCGTCGACGGAAAAAGAACTTCTGAACGAACAAGAATATCCTGGCTAATCGTCCAACATCCAATGGCCGCGACATACCTTACCCCGGACAGCAATGGACCAACCTTAAATACTGTTCATCAACACTACAACCGTTACATTGCCCAGCGGACGAGTCGACCCTTGGGGATAATTTAAGCTAACGGGAGCAAAAATTTGCCACACACAGTACCATGTCCTCCCTTCATCTACACTTTGGACCATACTTACTTCCTCCTGAGAGAAGGTTGGACACGGGAGGCAAAGGGGGCGGATGTTGGTTTGGCACAAGGGCTTCCGCAGAAATACATCATACATACATCCCCTGACGCCTGCGCCAAAATGGGGCATGGTTGGAGAGACTCGATCTCCGCGGGTTTTTGAAATGGGGCCATCTCGTTATTACTTGCCGCCCCATCAGAGGGAGCAGTCCGCTATGTCACCCTGCTTAGGTTACTTCACTGCGACGATGATAATTATCAAATTTCGTGCTGGAATGCTTACTCAGCTAGCTGTCCATGATAACTAGTTGTGATAGAGAGTTAACCACTACGGCTGAACAAAATAATAGGCCATTATTAACTAATCTTGCTGTGAGACTTTTAATAAGTCAATGGAATGCTGCATGCAATGGAAGAGGGAAATATAAAAAATAAAAAAAAATAAAAAAAATAAAAAAACCGGAATGTTGGTGATTTGTTATTTGATCCTTCATTTTTCGATTCGACATCTTGTAGTTAGTTATCTATTGATTCTATCCCCGTTTCCATATACTTCACAAAAATAGTTATAAGCTCCTGCTGACAAAACTATCCCATAATAATTAACTCAACCAACGGTAACCAACATCTGCTCTCTCCAGCTGTTCCGTCTCCGTCGCTCGAACAATCCCGTCCATCTCAAGCATCCGGACATCGCCTCTATCCATCGTCGCCAAGTTTTTGAAAGCTATCGACCCAGCTCAAGGTCCCGTTCGGTAACCATCATGTAAGAAGATCCCAGCTCCCCTTTTTTCTGGTTCCACGCATATACGTTTTGACGGTTCCCCATCTAACGTCTTGTTTTATTTCCAATGAAAGGAGGGTTATCATCAGGCAAGACCCACAGACGGTATCTGAATACGTCGCGGATTATATCATCAGTATGTGATGTCATTCGTCCTCTATATCTATATAACTATACCCGTCTTCTCTTTTGTTCATACATATCCTACATGTATGTTCCCCACTGCTATAGTAAATGGACGCCCCACTTTCTGCCTGTATCGATCCCGTATAGGAGATCTATATGGAAAATGTTATATACATCATTCATTCATTCATTCATTTCCAATGCATCCTGCAGCTACGTGCGTTTCATTGCCATATGGATTTTAACTGGCGTGTGTTGTCTTCCGTGTAGGCCGTATCAAACAATTCAACCCCACCGCAGATAGGCCATTTGTCCTAGGCCTACCGACCGGAAGCAGTCCAGAGGTCATCTACCGTATCCTGGTCCAACGGTATAAAGCTGGCGAAATCTCTTTCAGACATGTCATTACGTTTAACATGGTAGACAGATTCCCATCTAATATAAATAAACTATGAATGAAGCTGATTAACCCCTCTCTCCACCACCAGGACGAGTATGTGGGCCTTCCCCGCGATCACCCCGAAAGCTACCACAGCTTCATGTACAAGCACTTCTTCTCGCATGTCGACATCTCCCCAGCCAACATCAATATCCTAAATGGTAACGCACCAGACCTAGCCAAAGAATGTGCCGACTATGAAGCCAAAATACAAGCCGTGGGCGGCATCGAGCTATTCCTCGGCGGCGTGGGTGCAGACGGACACATCGCCTTCAACGAGCCTGGTAGCAGCCTCCACTCGCGTACTCGCGTCAAGACACTCGCATACGACACCATCCTGGCCAACTCGCGTTTCTTCGGCAACGATGTATCGAAGGTGCCACGCAGGTCGTTGACGGTTGGGATTCAGACGATCCTGGACGCACGTGAGGTAGTGATTGTGGCAACGGGCGTGCACAAGGCAACAGCGCTGCAGAAGGCGCTGGAGCGGGGTGTGAATCACATGTGGACGTTGTCAGCGCTGCAGCTGCATCCGCACCCACTTATTGTGGCGGATGAAGATGCGACGCTGGAGTTGAAAGTGAAAACTGTCAAGGTATGTATATGAATATATATATATATATATATATATGTATGTATGTATGTATGTATCTATATATCTCTATATGGATGCAAAGCTCCTAGTATGACACGTGATGGCAAACGTGTAGATTAACCAATTTTGCAAACTTTCAGTATTTCGTCAGCATAGAGCAGTCCGGAACAGATGCACGGACGCAGGGACCACCCCTAGTCCATCGCACGAAGCAATATACGCAGCCTTCCTCACGAGGCCTGACCCCGCCGCTCTCCTCTGACGAGCACGATGGAGCGACGCCGGAAAAGTCCACCGCGCTCAAGATCGATACCTCTGGTTTCCACGCTAATGGAAATAGGGAAGATGAACTGGACGAGTTAACTCCAGATAGTATGTCATCGCGCTTAAAGGATTCGGCCATTGTGGGGCTTGAAGAGACGATGATTGCTGCAGATGATTTGGTCTTTGATCGGATGCGGTCGAGAATTAATTCAGCTGAGACGTGAGGCATGACCCATAAGCCAAAAGGGCGCGTTGGAAAGAAAGGCCTGGAATTTTAATAACAATCCTGAGATCGTGATACTGCTACCACCGGATTCGCGGCTTCAGAGATATACATTCATTCACCAGAGAGGAAGACCACGAGCTCTGCCAGCAACCCTATCTAGGTGAGGGGAAGTATACACACACACACACACAGAGAGAGAGAGAGAGAGAGAGAGATCTAAGAAATTTCCACGATTTCATTAGCCGAATAACATTCACGGGATCTATATGGCATTCCTCATCTATCTCCAGTTTCTCCCCCTAACATCTTAACTTATTTCGATGACTGCATTCTGCGGACGGCCCATCCTATCAACCCGCGGAGGTTGTCTTTGCAGTTTCTTTTTCTCTTTTTCTATGTTTCTATATAAAGAAAGAGATTTTGTTGATTTATTTTCCATTCTTTCAATTTGCCACCTTCAGAGAATGTGTCAATTTGGATCCCACTTTTTTTTCACGCCTTACTTCTGTCTCCATAGTCAACTTTTCTTACCGTTTTCAGGCCTCTTAATTCAACCCTTTTGTTTATTGCGCCCATTCTCCCATGCGTGTATAGCGTTGACCAATCCTTTTTAAGATCTGCCTTGTTTATCAAGTTAAGCCATTTAATGTATCATACAGATCTAACAGTTAAAGAATATAAAGTCAAAATGCAGGATGCTGACCATTCAAGAGAGGGAGTTGCTTATTGGCGAATATGGGGAGTGTTCTGGAATCACTGCGGAGTATGCGTGTCCCCAGATCTCGTAGTTAACGAAGCGATTCGGTTATGCCGCCAGGGCTTCTCTGTCCCTTGAAAACGCATATTTGCCCGTATCCAGATCAGAAACCCCTTGCTAAAACCCACAACCTCTCTATCAAGCTTCCACAGTTCCTTTTTTGCTCAAAGCTTTGTAAACGCAGTCGCAACTCCGCCACTCATATCAACCAGGGTACTTTTATTCCGCACCCACGCCTCAAGACCTCTCCGCCCATTCTCAACCCCAACACCACTCTGTTTCCAACCGCCCACACTCATCTCTGCCGGACTTTCCCCCCATGAATTAATCCACGTGATTCCCGCCTCCAGTTGCGCAATCACTTTGTGCGCCATATTAAGATTCTGGGTAAAAACACCCGCCGCCAGGCCCAGTGGTGTATCATTTGCTCTCCTCACCGCCTCCTCGACTGTATCATATGTGAGGATCGACATGACAGGGCCGAAAATCTCCTCCTGCACGATCTTCATGTTATCCTCGCAGTTCGTGAAGATCGTAGGTGTGACCCAGTAGCCCTTCCGCAGTTTTTCGGGGACGCTGGGAGCTTGCAGACCACCGTAGAGGAGAGTGGCTTTATCCTTCTCGATGCCGTGGCGGATGTAGCTGATGACCTTCTCGTAGTGTGGGAGCGATACGAGCGGGCCGAAGTTCGTGTTTGGATCCATGAGGCAGCCAGCCCGGACATATTGCATCTTTTCTACTAGGCGGGTTTCGAAGGCAGATTTTAGGTTCTTCGGGACAAAGACACGGGTGCCGTTGGTGCATACTTGGCCTGTGCTGAAGAAGTTGGCCATCATGGCACCGTCAACGGCGTTCTCAATGTCTGCGTCTTGAAGAATGATGAGTGGACTTTTGCCGCCTAGTTCCATTGTAACATATTTCATGTTTCCGGCAGCGGAGCCGGCAACTTTCTTCCCTGTGGACACCTGGCCGGTAAATGAGACTTTGGCGATGGATGGGTGAGAGGTGAGGTATGCACCAACATCGCCTGCACCGTAGACGACGTTGAAGACGCCCGGGGGAAGACCAGCTTCTGTATATATTTGGGCGAGAATTAAGCCATGAAGGGGAGTGAATTCGCTAGGTTTGTAAACCATGGTGTTTCCAGCAGCGAGGCAAGGACCTGATTTCCAAAGTGCGCTGCGGGAATGGAAGAGAGATATTAGAACTTGTTCAATATATGTTGCATATATTTTCTGTCCCGCATATAGACTGGGGTCTCATCTTTCTTACATTTGAATAGGATAATTCCATGCACCGATACCAGCACAGACTCCCAGTGGTTCCTTTTTCGTATATACCCAAGCGCCCTCTCTCAGCTGCGTTGTTTCACCATTTAATCCGCCCCCGCCAACAAGGCTTGCAAAGTATTCTAGCACATCGGCACCTGTAACAACATCTACTGTGCTTGTCTCTGAATACGGTTTGCCCGTATCTTGTGTCTCGACCTTTGCAATTTCATCGTTTCTGGATCGAAGGATTCCCGCTGCTCTTAGGAGGACTCTGGTTCGCACAGCGGGGGGAGTCTGGGACCAAGCGGGGAAAGCTCTTCGGGCCGAGTCAATTGCCAAATCAACATCTCTGTTTGATGAAGATTCGATATCTGCTAGGACAGAGGCGTTGGAAGGGTCTATGGACTGGATCAATTTACCCGAGCTGGATTGTTGGACTTTTCCGTCATAATAGAGGCGTGGAGAAGAGTAAGGTGAGGGAGCCATATATATGTTAAGATGAAATTTGGCCCACACTCTCACGTCGCAAAGTTCTAGAGAATACTATCTAAGTAAAAACGCAGGGTCTATGTTCCGATGCTTCTTCGAAATTCTGTCTTTTCGAGTTGATGATGAAGCTATCGAGAAGGTTGGACTGTAACTGATCAAGTCACGTGGTATGATGTCGGATCAAAAATTTCTAACTCGTTTTGTGGGCGTAGAAAAGACACGGATGAGAGTTGTGCTTCGAGGCAATTTGGGCTAATACAGCATATGCAGTGGGGACATTGACATCAAATAACAATACAATATTACTTACGTGGACACATGTTCTTTTGCTTTGGGACCGTGATGACTGAAAAACAAGGCTAGCCTTTTAGTGATTCTTGAATGGTGGTTATAACTACTCACAAATCAATGAGAGATGAGAGACGACTAAACCAGGCTGTATACGGCACTGCACAGAGAGAAAGAAATGAAAAACCGACAACCGATCGCTCTGGAAGCAAAAGTGGAACCTTGAATTTCATGCGTAATTCATGAATTAAAAGCATGTGTCTTCCTGCATAACTAAACTAAAATTGTCATCTTCCTAACATCTGACTAACAAGGTTATATAGGGCTGTTTATCCCTTCTTATTCCTTTTCTGAATATAACATGGCCAGTTATGCGGAACCACCGTGAAGAAAGCCTTCCACGTCCACTCCTGTTCCGGGTTGGCTTGCCGGATATCATAGTCCCGCACGAGCGTTGCACAAATCTTATTCAGCTCAATTCGAGCAAGGTTCTGCCCGGGACATGAGGCATAACCCATCCCCCACTGTTAATCAATCCAACGAATATGGGTTAGCAAAAAACAAAGTTTGTTATTATTACTTTCCTCGTTGTCCATCCAATGATCGGCTAGGATAGAGGTTACTTACGGGGATGAAATATTTCGCAAGGTGCAATGCATCCTCACCCAGCCACCGGTCTGGGTTGAACTCGCGGGCATCTGGACCCCAAGTCTCCTTCGAGTAGTGCATAACCCAGATGTTGACCGACACAATGGTTCCCTGAGGAATGGTCCGGTCACCAAAAGTTATGCCACCTTCGGGCGCAATACGTGGCAAACCCATAGATGCCGGCCCAAAAATCCGGAGGGCCTCTTTGATACACGCCTGCAAGAATGGCAAGTTCTGCGCATCCGTGTACCTGACAACACGGTCGTTGATACCTGCTGCATCAATCTCAGCCCTCGCGCGCTTCCAGGCATTTGGATGACGGATCATGAAGTACACAAACGCTTGCAGCGCCGTAGAAACAGTTTCATTGCCCGCAGCGACAGCGTTGAATGCGGCGCTGTGAATTTCGTGCAACTGCATGCGGTCAGGATGTTGCTGGAGCATGCGAAACCAATGGGCTACGGCATCCATACGAGCATCTGGGTTCTTCTGACGCTCCTTAATGGCCGTCATGGCCGTGTCAATAAGGTGACCCCAAGGCGTAATGTTCAGCCAGGTGATGACGGGGTTGCTGAGGAAGAGAATGTGGAACCATCGGAAGAAACCAGCGACGGAGACGTAGGCAGCCTGGGGATGTGCATTGGCGATCGTATTGTTGATGTCGCGGCCTGCACGCGAGAAGCCGAACTGCGTGGAGAAAACCGCCTCACCGACAACATCAGAGGTGGTGAAGGTAAAATATTGGTCGAGATTGATTAGACTACCGGAGGCAGAAAACTTGTCCAGCCAGCCCAGAAGCAACTCGATTGTTTTGCTAATGCTGTCCTCGTTATGCAGCAGGTTGGAGAGTGTGTACGCAGGCGCGAGATGTTTGGACAAATCCATCTTCACCTTGGGATCCGTGGCGGACATGGGATTCTCGAAGCGACCATCCGGGAAGGCGATAACTTTGTACCAGCTGCCCTTGTGAAGCGGTGCCCCAAGGATCTTCCTGATGGCTTCAGGATGGCTGACACTCACCTCATTATGCGCCACGCGAACAAAGTGTCCTGGTTTTCCGCATTTCGGTTAGCGGAATTATATTGGTCCTAATAGCAAGATATGGAGAGCAAACATACCGTGCGTGTCATGTAAGCGAATAAGTTCTAGGTTCTGGTCTCCTTTCAGAATGCGCAGAATATGCCACAGCCGAGTGAAGCTGGCTGTAAATGGACCTGGAATGTCGCTGATTGGGGAAAAATATCGACGCCAGAGACAAAGTGTCAGGGCAGCAACTCCAAGCAGGCCAGTAATCTGCAGCCCACCCAAACCTGTGAGCTCCTTCAAACCTGCCATGACTTCCGAAATCGATGGCAAGGGTTTGGATGGGATTGATGAAGGGTTGCGGGGTTGGGACTCTCTGACATATTATCCTTCTTGAGTTCAATGTCAGCTCTGTGATTTGTTGGTCGCTGATCAACTGGCGCATGGTTCCCGTCTCGCGAGGGGAAAGTGTGGGCACAGTGCTATATAGCAAGACGCGATTTTTTCAAAAACGTCAATGCG